AGGGAGGCTGCGAGCGGTCAGAGCTTCTTTCAGAGGAAGGACTGACACGTGCAGCTGGACATGGTGCACCAGACAGAGGGAGAGAGCAGATCTTTATGCTCTTCTAGGTCATTCTGCTATTGCTGCGTGGTCCTTTGAGCTCAAGGCACTTCCACAAGGTCTGGCTGTGGCATCCAGCTTTGGCCAAAGAGCATTACTTGCAGGCTGATGGGATCAGGAGGAGATACTGAGCTCTCTGGGCAAATCCCTTCCCTCCAGACAAAACTTGTAGACCTCAGGCATGAGACGCATTTCTCTCCCTAATGTCTCTGTAGAAAGATAGGTTTGTCTTGGTCAGCTGCTTTCTGGGTTTAATCAGTCGTTCCTGCTGACGGTGTTGACAGAAATTCTGCTTTTAGTACAGCCATTGTCTGTGTGGCCAGGAAGAGTCAATCAGCATCTGTTCCTGCACATGCATCGTTAACAGAGCTGTGAATTAATTTCTAGTGACAGACCACATTCTCCTTTGGAATGAATTTCTCCACCGCCACCAAGACTCTCTGGATACTTGTCACGTTTGGGTGGTTTATAGGTATCAAGTCACTGGCTTAGAAAAGGGACAGACAGCATTTAAAATCCCAGAATGGGTTTCCTGTGTTTGGAGTTTCAGGAGAAAATTGTATTTCTGAATCGAGTGTGTTTGCTTTGTGGCAGACCAGTTCTTTCCGAAACTTCTGTATTTTCACCTAGTTACAGCTACAGACTGTATCCCTTCCCTCAGGTTGATGGGGACGTTAATTGCATAACAGATTTCAGAAGTGTCCAAACGCAGCACCTTCTGCTGCTATTAGAAAAAATCAGTAGCTTTGGTTTGGGAAGCCACTGGAATCGTGTTCTGTGCAGTGTTTGTTTACAGATAGGTTACACTTTATTTTTTGCTAATGCAGATAAGGCTATTTCTAACACCATGCTGCTGATAAGTTCTGGCCAAAGCTAGGCTGTTGATCAAGTGTTTTATTCCTGGAGGGAGGCTGGGTTTTGTCTGCTCTTTTCCTTCTTTGCTTGCCATCAGCAAATGCATGGAGTTGGTCCTGCCTTCCAGGCACTGTGGTGTGACAGGTATGGGAGAGGCACAGCAAGCTTTCCAAATTATCCTGTGACAGGGGGGAGAAAGTGACATCTAAGCACTGTGCAGGGCAAGAGGGGCTGGTTTCTTCATGTACTTCTCAGTGGAGGTGAGAAACAAATGGCTTGTGGTCCAGTGAGCTGTGTTTTGGTGGCTCACCATGGCATCACTGCCAGGCAGTGGAATTGGATGAGGAGCCTGCAGAAGGTAACTTCCAAATGACTTGCTGGAGGCTGTTTTACTGCACACTTACTGATTCACTGCTTAAGAACTGTTTGGTGTTTTTTTTTTAATAAGAAAATAAGTGGCTACAACCCCTTTGAAATCTTATTTTTAGATTAAAATAAGCAAGATTCTGATTAATTTAGCAGCAGGGCATCGGTGGCTGTTAACAGCTTAACATGAGGCCCTGATAGATTGATAAGGAGCTAAACAGCCCCTGAATCACATATTTACAATCTGGCCGTGCTATAATTGAGGCTCATGTTGGGTAATTGTCAGCATGGTTGATAGGCAACATAACAGCAGCAGCTATTTGTCTTTTAAATGGGCAATTGAATTATTCAGAATTATAGTTGATAGCCTTCTGTACATCTGAGCCATAGTCAGTTACTTGAGGCATGGATGACGAACTTTAATTCCGTTTATGCACAGCCCTAGGCTCTCCTTGGGTAAGCCCACCTGTGTCCCTGGGCAGTTTCTCAAGTGGGCTCTCCAGCCCAAGATGAGAATCCCTCTTCTGTAGCTCGGGCACTAATGGGGGTATTCTAGGTGGTCTGTGCACCAGCTTGAGTGTGACAGCCAAACCAACAGCTAGGCAGATGTTTGGCTTAGTATCAGAGCCATCCAAATGTGGTTTCACCTCCAGAGCAGGAGGGAAGGCAAGAGCTGCAATGCTGACCAGCCTTATTTTTCCTTGTTTTCTTCAGTCTGCTGTGGTTGCAGGAGAAGATTTGAGCGATTCTGCTGTCTCTACATAGTTTTATATGTTGTGGGACATTTTAGCCAAATAAGAGTGAAAGTTTACAAACCATTAAACATGCACAAGTAGACGGGACAGCTCAGATTCTCCTCTGGTTGCTCTGTGTGGTAACATTAGCAATTCTGAGCTAGTCACGCAGTGGGACATAGCTCAAATTAATTAGCTAAATTGCTACCTAATGGCAGTAAGATTTGATGCCACTTAATATTTCAGTGCAAACGTGACAGGCAGGTTAACATATTTAAATACAATTGGGTCTCCTTTTCTAATGGCGTATCGAGCTCTTGTTTGGGCCGTCTGCGGCACTCATTGTGCTCAATTAATTCTGCCATTATCTCTGGTCTGATCTGCTATTAGCTCTGACAAAGCATACAGCCACCTCACAGCCCTCCCCTTCAGTGCTGACCAACCTGCGGTGAGGATGCTGCAGTGAAATGTAACGGGAAAATGCGCGTTATGCCTTGCACATAATTAAGTCATATTAATATCAAGAGACTTAATTACAATTTCAAGTTTATCAAGAGAAAGCCCCATCAGTAGCCTGCAGCATTGGGCAGCCCTGTGTGCTGTGCATTTGTTTCAGGCTGCAGAGGAATTCAGACTGGAAGGTGCCAGTTCTTCTTAGTGCCCCATTCTCAAGAAGAGCCACCAGGTTTTCTTATGCATCTCTTGGTTTTCTTTTCTTTCACGCTTTCTTTCTGCCCGCCCTCACCCCCCACCCCCTTGTGAAGCAGCCCTTCTGGCTTTGTTGTAAGTGTGGTTTGTAATCATTGTACACATCCCAGATGGTTCATGAAAACTCTTTGAAATGCCATCTGCCAGGCGTGTGTCCAGCCGGCAGCCTGTCATTCTGCTACAAGAAAAACGGAGGCGGGTTTTCCCTTCCCCCTGCCTCCCTGAATTGCATTCAGTAACACTTGCTCAGATGTGAGGCAGGATAACAGCCTGAGCATCTGCAAGCAATCTTTGCTCTAGACAGCAACATGGAAAGTGGTTGGGTTTTTCGCTTCGCCCAGATAAGATATCCTAACCAGTGTTGTTTTTATTTTCCCCCTGTTTATTGCTGGAGACCGACAGGAGGTGACAAATGTTATCTCCGTGATGTAATGTTTTTCTTTTACGCCATGGCTTGGTGTTTCTAATGCATTCAGTGTGTGTTGCAGGCAATCGCGCTGATAGCGAGCACATCTGCGATTTTTCGACTTGAACATATTCAGGAAATTAAGAACACTGAGATGAAACAAATAGATCCATTAAAATGGCTCAGAGGAATTATGGCAGAGATATAATTGTCATGTCAAATAGGCAGCCAGCACGAGTAAACTGCTGACTGCAATTTCACCGCTATAAAAATTCAGAGGAAAAAAAAAAATGATTAATAAATACTCTCTGTGGGAAGATAAAGAAAAGATGAGAACTCGATAAAGTAAAATGAATCCTGAAGTTCCTTGATCTTTGTCTCTCACAATCATGTGTTGTCAGTTACTGTGGAGAAGCATGACCCAATCCCTGCCATTCAGCTCGCTTGGCTCGGGGTGCCTGACGTTTGGTGGATGCGTTCGATGAGGAGTATTGTGGTGTCTGGTTCTCATCCCATTGGGCTCCAGGCATGGAGCAGCTACATCACAGCCTTGGATGTATTTATTGCTGGAGCGTTTCATTCCTCTGATGGGCTTGGTGTAGGGGAATTTAGCAAGGGCTAAGAGCCATGGTGTCTCTGTGAGGGTCATTGCAGCATGAACATCTGCATCCAAATTTAAAGGAGTTGTTCTGCTTATAGGGTGAAGGTATCCATCATCATCTCCATCCCCTTTTTGGTTTCCTTCCTCCTACGTTTACCCATTCACACGCAGCTCCAGAAGAAGGACTGATAGCAAAAGCACAGGAATTTATAGGCTATCTGAAGACTGGTGGTAAATAAAATGAGAGAGTTTCTATTTTGAAACAAGGAATGGAAGGTTCTGAAGAAAATGGATGTCTATCAAGGAAATTAATCTACTGATAGTGATTCAAGGGTGTCATTCCATCAAGACTGACCTCTTGAATAACCTCTGGGATGAACAGGGCATAAGAAGACTTTCCGTTTTCCTGGCACTTGAGGAAAACGTTTGCCAGATGTAGGCATGGTAAATTTATGCTCTTTCAACTTCTGAGAGCTGGAATCTTCCCAATTAGTTTCCAGAAGCTCAACTTCTTTATACTTTCTTCAGTCCTTTTATAAAGGGTTTAAGAAATTGTATGCACTGAGGAGATACTGCCCAGGGGCCGGGGTAGTCCTGCAGAAGTGAGAAGTCACGCTTCGTTAAATATTAGACACGGTTTCCATGTTTCTAAAATAACTCCCAAGACAGCAGATTGGTTGCAACCACAACACTCAGACACCTCCAACCCAAAGGCACTACTCTTTTCTTCAGTTTAGTTCCCCCTAATATAAATAAAGTGATAAGCAGAAATAAGAGAGAAGAGGTCTTTGTGATGTGAAAGAATTTTTGGTGAGAAAAGCTGATACAGAAACAAGGGAAGGCAGAAGTTGTCTTATCTGAGAATACAGATGCAGTTTTAGTGAAGCTGAAGTGACACTCTGCTAATGACAGGAAGGTAATTGCTGGTTTATTCCCACATACCAAACTCTTCCAGCTGTGTTTCTGCATGTAGTAGGAGATATTTCTTTGCCAGAGAGCCTTTCTGGGAATATTAAAAACACTGCAGTTGGGTGGAACAAGTGGTACCATCAGCTCAGCCTAATATTTATGTCTTGGTTTGTTTTTATGTGGGTTCCTGACTCTTGTCCTTGCTCTCTGCGTAACGTAGAACTGTATTTTATGGATACTGTTGTATCTTTATGATCATTTTTATTGTCCCTTTTAACACTTGATAAGAAAACAGTATTAATGCACCAATTTTTCCTTTCAGGCACAACCCGCCCTCCAAGAGAAGGAGAAGTGCCTGGTGTGGACTATAACTTTCTGACTGTGGAGGAGTTTCTGGAGTTGGAGCGAAGTGGGACCCTTCTGGAAGTAGGAACCTATGAAGGTATGGAATCACAGGCAATGAAAAAGCACTTCCAGGAGCTGTGGTAGGATGTCTGCCTTGCATCACCCTTGCTCGAGTTAACCAGCCCCATTCAAGGCCTTGCTTTCTATCCTAGCCTTCTGCTTTCCTTTTTTACATGTACCCAGAGAGAAGGAATTTCAATATTACTCTGTTCTTTTGTCTCTTCTCATCAGTTACCTAAAAGATTAGCATCCGTAAGCCCGGAAAATCTGAGATCTGATAACAAAACACTGAGGGAAAACAGTGTGGCAGTGAATGGAAATGCATCTTTTCTTTGTATCCTCTATAACTTCTCTTCCCTGTTCTTCCCTCCTGCTGTCTCTTTCCCCTTCATCTCTTCATCTTCTTCCCTTTGTACACATCCTTCATTGCCCAATTGTTGCTCAGGATGCAGCTACATGGTGCACTGCTTTTGGCCTTTTTTTCTGCTTTCTTCATGGATAATTACTTAGAAGCTGAGTCATTGTGTTGATTCTTTCTACAGCACAGCTTTGCAAACAACAGCGTTGAGCCAGCCAAGGGGCACTGAAATGTCACTGGGGTGACAGCAGGGAAAAGATGGCTTTGCCTCTCAAGAAAATGCAAAACAAATTGGCCAAATTCAGTTATGCAATAGGATTTGTTCATCTAAAGATGCAATCAATATTTAATGTGAAACTACTTTTGGAGGTGTGAGGTTTTTTTGTCGTTGTTTTTTCATGGTTTGCATGAAGATGCTGCAAATGTTACTTGGTTTCAGTCTTCCATCTCTCTGAGCTGATTGGCCCCATCAGCATCAACACTAATGACAGTGCGTGCACACATCTGCACCAAGACATGGCTGTTTGGTTGTGATGTGAAGGAAATACAGCTCATTTTTCACTTCCAGCTTCAAGAAATCATTTTGCTGCCTTCCAATATTTCTTTAATAGCACTGTTGTCCTTTTTTGGGGGGGCAGAAATCTTGTGTATTGATCAAGACAATTTTGATCTCAGACCCTGAAAGGATGGAGTGATTCAGACTCAAGCTGCAAACACCAATCATTTTGCTTAAAAAAAAAAAAAAAAACAAAGAAGAAAGACCACAAAATTAGACTTCTGCTGTCCAAGTTCTGTTTTTTGACCAGCTTTGTAGTCCTACATTACATCAATTTGCATTTGATTTATACTGCATTTTACTGCTGTTTTCTTTTATGCCCCTCCATGGTGAAGTTCATTACATTTTTGACCCTGCCAGTGATGGCTCGTTCTAAACCAGATGGATAGAAGTCAGAACAAGGAAATATTCTTCTTTTTCTCTCCGGAGAACAATAAAATAATACTGTTAATGCATTGCTTTTATTATTAACAATGCTACTTATTGTACCAAACAGGAATTAAACATTTGGAGAGGTAGAGTTACTTTCATTTATAATGTAATGAGATGATACAGAGATGAAGGAAGGGTTCTAGTACGGAATGGACAATAGTGATGCTTATTAGGGAAATTCTGCCAAATGATGTAAGAAAGATTTGGTGGTACTGAATGAACTGAGAGGTGAAAGAAGCTCCTGATTGCTGCAGTAAGGTAGCAACATTTTGCATGGAAAAAGGACATAATTTCTTTAAAATGCAGCAGGCAGTGATGAAGCACAGACCCAATGCTCATGCACAAGAAGCTCCTGAAGTTTGAGATGTTGGGAGCAGAGGCTGAGGTTCATGTTTCCAGCAGCCTCAGTGGTGACTCAAGCAGGATGAAGGATTGTCCTGAGGTTCCCCTTTGGTCCTTTGTTTCTAAGAGTCCACACCAGATGATGGGTGGGAGATGGATGTAGATGTGCTCTGAGTGCTGTGCTGCATTTCAGCAGAGCATGACCTCAACAGTGAACATTATGTTATCATTTTAACAGATGACATTCATTTGCCTTTTGAAGACATAAAGCCCCCATGAATCTAGCACTATCACTGGGAAAAACCTTGTGGGAGAAGATGTAACAAAAGCTTTTGTTTAATAACAGTTACTGAAGAGAGCTTCTGGGGAGGAAGATTAGAAAACAGGGAGCTTTCAGAAGAGGGGTAAAATGCAGAACTTTGATGCTGATATGGATACTATTGATTTGGAAGGAATAAAGAACAAGCAGAAGAGAACAGCTGGAAACCAGAGAATAGTAGGAGAGCATATCATGTTTTGAAAGAAAAACTTGGGCTTTGGAAGTGCTCTAATTGCAAGGAGAAACTGCAAGTTGAAAAGGTGTTGCCTACCCACTGGGCTGCATAATACCATCAGTATTTCTTCTGGTGCACTGCAAATGTGTTCATCTGGGCAGTTTTTGATTCGCGTCCCTGTGAATGCAGAGCAGGAATGGCAGCCTCTCTTCTGGCCACCCCCTGATGTGTTCTGCACCCACAGTCCTCCAAAAAATCAGGTGGGAGGGTGAATTTGAAAGTCTTAATTCCTGAGGTTCCCAGATCCAGTTTCAAGATGCTGCTTTTTAACCATAAAGCTTAGAAACTTCCCCTTTCTTCCCTTAAGGAAGTTCCATTTTCATCAGAGGAATCCAAGAGCTGGAGCTGAAATGCTGGAAGACCTGCCCAAAGCTGCTGTGCTGCACAGTATTGGTCAGTTTTGCACCATATGCTCGAGCCAGGTGTAATTCCCATTGACACTTCTCATAAGGAAGAAAAAATCTTTTTAGCCTGCACATTATCTGGGCCTTCTGGTGGATAGGAAATGGAGATAATTGCAATCTCAGGCATTTATTGACCTTCAGAGTGTAAAATACTGATGGATGCATGGAAGTAATTGTGTAGTTACTAATCATTTAGTAATTACTTTTGCATGTGAGTTGCAGGCTCTCACAGGGACCCCGAGGGAGTGCTGTTTTGGCGGAGCCACAGCTTCTAGGTTTTATTCCCATTTCTTCCACAGCCTGCCAAGCGACCACGGGAAAATCAGGTGGCTGCTCTGTGCTTCACATTCCCAGCCTGGAGAATATAAAAACAACACTTCCTCCTTTCTTCATCAATATTTCAGCAGGTATCCTGTGCCTGCGGTTATCTCCTGTTAAAATAGGAGTGAGATGGTGGCACTGATGACATTTCAGAGCTGGATGCAGCAGTGGCACCGCACAGAGACATTAGCATGGTGGCTGAGTCTTGAATGGGGATGGTTGTGTCGCCAGGGTCTGGCAAGGCTGAATTAATGAATTCCTGCCCAGCACTTAGTGATCCTCAAAAGAAAAAGTGCTGCACTTTATAACATGTGAAGGGTTATTACATTATGGAGTATTATTGTCAAGGCATCATCTTTCATTCACAGGACAAGTGTTATGTGATTGCCAAGAGAAGTAATAAGTAATCTGCATTAGTCTCATGACTGAGATGTAATGGGGTGACTTGCTAACATTTTTAAAGTGTATAAAACTAGCTACTGTAGACAGGGTCTCTGATTGCAGTACTTAATGAGCGTAATAAATTACCTTCACAGTGTAGTTAGAATTTCAGCTGAAGTAGAGAGGTGTATTCAGCAACATGCTTCAAATCAAGATGCCCTTAGCCTAACATGCCTGTTGTGCACACTCTCCTTGGGTTTTTCTGCAGCAGCATGGCTCGCCCAGCTGCTGCAGCAAAGTGGCAGGATTTTCTTAGCTGTTCTGGTGCCTTCACAGCCTGTGGGTCTCGTCAGCTTGGTCCACACTTGAAATGAATACCACGTCTGTGGTATGCAGAATGCAAGAGTGAGCTAGTAGGGCTGGCAGATGCTGGGGATGCCCATGCAGCAGATCAACATGTTCCACTTAATAAGATAAGATCTGCTTATTAGTGCCTCTGTACTGCAGATTGACTCAATAATTCAATAAATGGCTCCTTTGGCACCGTACTTTGTAAGCAAAGGAGGTACACACACAAGTGTGCCTGTGACAGAGACAGCAAATAAAGGTTAAATTTCTTTTTTTTTTTTCATTACAGCAATCTCTATTTTAATAAAGTAAATCAGGGAGGTGTTTTGTCCTCTGACTACTTGGTAATGATCTGACAGAAGGGAGAGATACCGTCCAAAGGGACCTGGACAGAGTTGAGAGGTGGGCTCACATGAACCTAACGAGGTTCACCAAGGCCAAGTGCAAGGTGCTGCACATGGGTCACAGCAATATTCAGAATATTCACTCACAAACATCTGTGCACTGCAGAAAGATGCCTTGTCTACCTTCGGCTTTTATGCTTTGCTTTTTTCTTTTTTAAACTGCTAGTAAGAAGGAAAAGGATGTTTTTGTCTGGGTGTGATTATCGGTATTAAACATGAGTGCAGCTGTACTGAAGTGTCATCAGATAACAATGCTTCATTCTACAAATAGCTGAAGTCACAGCTGAGTAACTCTTCCTCTCTAAAAGCAAATATTCAGGTATCTAATAGAGTTTTAGACTGGCTTTGAATTTCCTGTGGAATTTCTGCTTGGCTTCTCTGTGCATTTGCAATGAGAAGTTTTCCAGTGTGGGCTCTGTCTGAAGTTATTCCTTGATAGTTTTGCTTTTTGCTGCTTTTTAATACATCTTAAAACACAGACCTTGGGGTCGGAGGCTGTCCTGAAACACCTCTGACAAAATGGGCAAAGTGCATGACATTTTCTTGATTCCTGCAGCCTTGTGCTGGGTAGGCTGTGTTCCAGCCTCTTCTCTAGTGTTCTCTGTGTGTGCCATGCTCAACTTCACGTTCCCTGTGAATTTATTTGCATGAATATAACAAATAATCTAATATAGCTGAACTTGGAAGCACCCTGAGATGCCATCGTTGTCCCACACCACCAATATCTTTCTACATGTGTAGAGGTGGGCTCACGTGAACCTAATGAGGTCCACCAAGGCCAAATGCACTTTCTACATGCGTAGAAAGTGTTATTATAATTACCTTTCCTTTGTTTTGGCTTGTTAGAAATGTACCATGCACTACAGGTGCTTGGATGTAGCTGTTTATAAGCATGGTCAGTAGCATGTGGCAATGCTTGGTAACAACACATGAAATA